CTATGAAGCAATCCGCAGCCTCTGCAGCACAAGTTTGATCCCCGGCCAGCCAAAGAGCACCCTACATGGCGCAGCAGACCTCTCCTGTCTCACCCACTGCTCCCCTCAGCAGTGTATTTCAGTCAGTCTGCCTGTTCTGTTTCCCACTCTGTCTCTGGTGAATCCTCTCACCCCCTGGATCTCTGTCCTGTACCCCAGCTCTTGTATGGATAAATAAATAAATCTTTTTTTAAAAAATAAAAAAAAAAAACACAATGAGACACCACCTTACACCAGCGAGAATGGCCCACATTTAAAAAGCCAGAAATAACAGGTGCTGGTGAGGATGTGGAGAAAAAGGAACCTCTTACACAGCTGGTTTGGATGTAAACTAGTCAGCCACTAGAGAACGACCTGTGGAGTTTCCTCAAAACACTAGAAATGGATCTGCCACACAACCCAGCTATTCCACTCCAAAGAATCTAACCAAAGAACACAAAACACTAATTCAAAAGGAAACCTGTAACCCTCTGTTTATTACAGCACCATTTACAATAGCCAAGATATAGAAACAACCTAAGGGCTCCAAAACAGATGAATGGATCAAGAAGATGCAGCATATATACACAATGGAATACTACACAGTCATCAAAAAAGATAAACTCACACCATTTAGGGCAACATGAATGGAGCTGAAAGGGTTGATACTAAGCAAAATAAGTCAGAAGGGAAAAGATAAACATAGGATGGTATAGTCAATATGTTCAACTGAGCCCCACCCGCTCCTCCCTGAAGTTATTATTCTATCAGATCCTGCACCCAGCTGGTGGGGCAGGGGTGGGGTGCCGCCAAGGGTCACATGAATAGTCTCAAGTCTCCACACCCGGGGTGTTTGCTCAGGGAAAGGCAGGGAACCTCCAAGGAAAATTGCCTTTCTCCCAGCCTTCTTCCTTCCTTTCGAGGTTGGGATGGAATGGTATAGAAAAACCAAACACAGGGTCAGACACAGACCAGCCTTGAAAGCTAACCAGAGATAGGCGCCATCCAGGAGGGGAGTGCGAGAGGGAACAGGTAGGGAGGAGAAAAAAGTAGGGGTGAAGGGGGTGGAGAGCACAGGGAATATGATGAGGGACTATGGGTGCTTTGGTGGTGGGAAAACTACAGTGACCACACCTGAGGGGAGAAATCACATATTATCCAAAAATTAACATCAATGTAAAACAAGGTATTATACTTAAAATGTTTCATTTTCATTTTAATTTGAAAACAACTGTAGGGGGTCTCCCTTGTGGTTCAAGGGGTGAAATCTCAGCACTATGAAGCTATCTGCAGCCACTGCAGCACAAAAGTTTGATCCTCGGCCAGGGAGATACCCACATGGCACAGCAGACCTCTCCTGTCCCCTCCCTGCTCCCCTCAGCAGTGTATTTCAGTAGATTCACCTGTTCTGCTCCCCACTCTGTCTCTGGTGAATCCTCTCACTTCCCACACCTCTGGCCTGTACCCCAGCTCTTGTATGCATAAATAAATAAATGAAATAAATCTTTAAAAAAATAAAACTTTAACGATACATTAAAACATAAATAAATACATACACACATACATAAATCAGTGGTGGCCATTGGTGGAGTGGACTCATTTTGCAGCTGCGAAAAATGGTGAGGCAGCAACTAACATACATGCTATGGAAGGAACAGATGTTGAGTGAAGGTCAAAGCCAGATACATAACACGATCTACAGCATCATACCCCACTGCCTAGCATTTGCGTATGTGTCACACACGCATGTACAAACTTCCTTAATGATGGGGATGCATTCTGAGCAATGGGTCCTTAGGCCATTCCATCATTGTGCAGATGCCAGGGTGTCATTACACAGACCTGGAGGGCAGGGCTTGCTGCACCCCTGGCTTTGGGGCCGCTGTCATGTGTGCAGTCCACCCCTGACACCACATCTTTTTTTTTAAAGAATCATTTATTTATGCATACAAGAGCTGGGGTACAGGCCAGAGATATGGGGAGGTGAAAGGATTCACCAGAGACAGAGTGGGAAATAGAACAGGCAGATTGACCGAAGTGCACTGCTGAGGGGAGCAGCAGGCGAGACAGGAGAGGTCTGCTGCGCCTTGTGGGTAGTTCCCTGGCCGGCTGGGGATCGAACTCATGCTGCAGAGGCTGTGGACAGCTTCATAGGTTGCTCTTAACCCCCTGCGCCACCAGGGAGGCCACCCTGACAGCACATCTTTAAACAATACATGTTGGCATGTAAACTCTGCTTGGAATGAATTACAAAAAACAGTTAACGTGGTTTCCTGTGGGAAAGAAGTTGAGTGACAGGTTATACACAACAGTCCCCAAACATAAGAGGTGCACGCTAAAATGGGGTCCTGCCATCCACCGTGTAAAGACAAAGGAAGCAGACTCTTAGCGTGACCGATCTTTGAAAGAATTAGTGTGTACAGAGAGACGAGAAGAAAGGATATTCCTAATAAAACTCTGAAAATTTACCCATCCCCTCATGGGCTAATGCCTAGCCAGAGTTGGCCAGAGGCGGGGCACCGAGGTCTGGAAGCTTGTCACAAGTCTAAAGCACCTTCTGATGGGGAACATGTGGGGTTCATGAAGCAGACCCCAAAGAGCTGGGACAGAAGGAGATATCAGCAAGATAACTGCTGCCCTTGTCAGCCTCCCCACATGCCTCTCACTCACATGACTCTTCCAAGTATCTCTACATCTCCACGAGTCTCCTTCAAAATCCCCCAAGTCCTTGGGTACAAGTGAGAGCTGGAAAAGCAAGAACCCCGGAACCCACCCACCTTCCCTGTTGTATGTCTTCACCTGGCTGCTCAGCTCCGCCGCAGGGCCCAGGTGGCTGCGTGTGGGTGGGGCAGGGAACATGTGAAGAGGGACGACGCCCTTTTGCAATTTAGAATCATATGCAGGATATTTACTACCTACTCAAAAACAAAAACAAGGTTAAAATTCCTTGCGCTCCCTCTCACACGTGTGTACGATGCAGTCTTGTCAGAGACCTGGCCCAGGGTCAGCTGCCGCTGATGCGGTCCCCTCAGGCATGCGTCACTTATGGGGGGTCTTATGGGGGGGCTCTGCCTGCCTCCCAGCATCTCAGAGGTTGGAATGTCATGAGGCAGATGATGTGCCAGCAAACACGGGCATTTCAGAAAACTTAATTCCCATCCTTCTGTTTCCTCATCTAAATGAGCAGTGGCCGTCCAGCTGTTCTGTTTGTCTAAACACTGAATCATGAAAGGTGTGCGTTTTCTAAATCTGACTGTCCTTAAACACAAAAGAAAAGGCAGATAGGGAGGCAATTCTCCCTGGACCCGGAGACCTGGAGGTTGCTGCCTTTCCCTGAACAAACACCCAGGGCATGGAAACTTGAAACCACCTGACCTGTGTAGTCCCAGGCTACACACACACACACACACACACACACACACACACACACACACACAAGCTGGGGCAGGATCTGATAAGAGCATGGCGCCTTCAGGGAGCAGCTGGTGGGGCTCAACTGAAAATACTGACTTGGAGCCTCAATGAACGGGAGGCCCCACCAGGCGCTGCACCTACTTCAGGCTCTAGCACCCCCTCCCCTCCCCCCCCCCACTCCTGGGAACCTGCCACATGTCACCAGAAGGCAGAAGGTTGGTATTTGTTCTATAAAATTTTTGTCTCAGTTATATATACAAATGCTGCAGCTTATAATAAAAATGAATTTCTGACTACGAGCCATCGCCAAAGAGAGCCGCTGAGAAATGGCATTTTTAACTTTGTGCTAGAAAAGTGAAGTCCTTCATTGTGAACAGGGGGACGTGGGGTGTGGGGGACAAGGCGGGGGGTGGCTGCCCAGGCAGTCTAGGAGCAGCTCCGTTGCTGTGGGCGGCGAGGGAGGCAGTGAGAGGTGACCTGGGATGGGTGCCAGGGCCTGGGGCCCAAGGACCAGGGGCCAAGGAGCCCCGGGAGGCCCCAGCAAGCCATGAGCCTGACCCTCCTGTCCCGGGCTGTCCCCACTGTTGTCCCCTCTGCATGTTTTATTCTCCCTCGGTGTTTCAGAGAGTCTGCAAAAGCCCCACGTCAGTCACGACAAGTAAGGCTTTGTCTACACTCAATCAGTGTTAATCGGCCAGCGTGTCAGCCGGGACTCCGCGGTGGTGGCAGGGGGCTGACGGCACTGACCGCTCCTGCCCTAAACCCTGGAGACAGCGTTTCCCCAAACACGGGCAGATCCCTTTCACACTTCACAGAGCCTGCACACGCCATATACACACAGACACCCTCCATGCGCAAACACAACACACACCCTTCACACACACCAAACTGCATGCAAGAGGGGAGAAAGAAGTGATGAGAAGCGATGAGGGTGGGTGAGACTGAGTGGAGCAGGGGAGAGAGCACTTATCAGAACCAAAGCCCATGCTACCTTGGCTTCTCGAAGTTGGTGTGTGGCACACCCTAATTCCTGAGAATGAACCCTGGGCCTCTGAAGTGATGGGAAAGCCAGGACGCCTCAGTCCCTGGTTGCAAAGGAATGAAGCTGGTAAAGACGCCCCCGGCACAAGGAAACACTACGCGCCTGGCTGAGAAGGAATGCAGGCCTGAGAACTGGATATTCCTGGGTTCAAATCCCAGATGGGGCACTTTCTAGTTAAGTCAATTACTTGGTCTGCCCAGGCCCGGCTACCCTTACCTGCAAGTAGTCTTGATGCCAACTTCCTGTGAGGCCAATGGGAACTGCCTCCTGATAAAACCGTCTAAAATCTGCTCTGCTTACCTCTTGGAGTTTATTGCCCAGATAAAATGGAACAGGATATCTGAGGGCTCATTAACCAGCATCCATCAGCTTTCAGCAAACACTCTCTGGGAACGGCCTGGAAGAGGCCAGACTTTTCCCCCTAGTGCCCCTACTTCCAGGCCCCCCTTGTTCTGATTCCAGGAAGAAGCCTCCAGACCACCATTCTCCCGCCCCTGGAACAAAGGCTGCACACAGCAAGGTTGGCAGACAGAGCGAGCTGAAATTTTATTTTGGCAAAAAAACTTGGCCAACAATTTTTAGTGGGGAGCATGGGCATGAGGGGGGTACCCCAGACTTCCCAAGGGTGAGCCAACACATCTCCTGTTCCCAATGCTCCCTTCACACATCTTAGACGGCACTGGGGTGAGGCTGGGCGGGCTGGCAGTGGCTGTTCACTTGGACAGAATATCAGATGACTCGGACACCAGCCTTCCATCTCGGGTCTCGGTCGTCTTCACAACCACAGCCTTGGAGGAGCCGATTGTGACGGCCCCCCCAGAGCCAAAGCCGTGCTGGATGGCGTTATAGCCGAAGCCAGGGCTCACGAGGCCCCCATAGGCCACGTTCATCCCACCTGGTCAAGACAGAAGCAGCCACTTGAGCAACAGAATCCATGCACACATCAGGCCCCAGGGCCCGTACTCCCGGCCACTCCCGGCAGGGAAGTGCTCTGGTCACTACTCCAGGATTGTCAAAGAAAACCAGGAGCAGGATGGGACAAAACTTCATTATCAGCAATGTGGACCAGACACTTAATCGGGCACAATTTCCTCAGCTACATAGGAGGGAAATGAATAGGAGCTATGTAGCAAAGATCCTGCCCTTCTGCCCTCCTGCGCCCTGCCCAGCGCTCCAGGCCAGGACACTCACCTGAGTAGCCGCTGGTCTTGGTATGGATACTCAGGTTCTGCATCGAAGACTCCAGCCTGCACCCAGAGGACACATGCAACATCAGGACCCACTCCTGGCCCTGGTCCCAAGATAATAGGACTCAAGTCGCCCCCCACCCAGGTTACAGGAATGGGGCAGCAGGGCCAATGGGAGACCCCCACACCCACCGGTTCTCCTCGCCCTCCAGCAGCTTGCGGTAGGTGGCGATCTCTATGTCCAGGGCCAGCTTCACGCTCATGAGCTCCTGGTACTCGCGCAGCTGCTGCGCCATGTCCTGCTTGGCCTTCTGCAGGGCCTCCTCCAGCTGCGCCAGCTTGATATTGGCGTCCTTGATGGCCATCTCCCCGCGTTGCTCGGCGTCAGTGATGGCGGTCTCCAGAGAAGCTCTCTGTCGGGGGAGGGAAACAGATAAGTGGACAGAGCAGAGTCTGGTTGCCTTCTCCCCCACACCCACCCTCCCTTTCTAGACCCCCTCCCTGGCCCTGACGAACCAACTCCACCAGCTCAAAGAAAACGGTCCCAGTGAGATTCAGAGCAGGGTGGGGAACATGAGCACCTTCCAGGGAGGTGCCCACACAAGCTTCTCACCTGGGACACTAATGGGTCTAGATCTTTGCTTTCTAGATGTCCTTGAAGGGTACAGCCCAAACTGACCCTAACATATGACAAAATAACGCAGGCTGGGGAGACCCATCCTGAACCCCAGCCTACTTGCCCCTTGGACCTGTTTCATGGCTCCAGAGGCCTCCTCAGCACCCCTCAACTCCCAGGAGTCTGAGAAGCTGGACAGTAGCTGCCCCTCCAACTCCCCAACTCCGGTCTAGATTTCTTCTCTGACCCTCCGACCCTTCATTCCTTCCTGCATTACCCCCTCTCACCCAAAAGTGCCCCAGGAGCCTCTCCCATCCCGGTGCAGCCCATACCTGGGCTTTGTAGGCCTCAATCTCATTCTGGATTCTGCTGATGCTCCGGTTCATTTCAGTTATCTCTGTCTTCGTGACACGGAGGTCATCCCCGTGCTTCCCGGCCAGAATCTGCAGCTCCTGGTACTGCCGTGCAAAATGAGGAGCAAGGCTTGAGAAAAGACCCCCTGAAATGCCAGTGCCCTCCATCCAAAGGAGGGTGCTCACTGAGCCAGGCCACTAGAACCCACCCCACACACACCGCTGAAGGCCTTCCAGACCCCTGGGCACGGGACATCCAGTCTCCCCAAGCCCCCTGGGAGGACCAGTTCACAGCGGGCGGAGGAGAGTTTGGAACACTGCTTGCCACAATGGACTAGGGCACAGAACTGGCGAGAAAGGGGAGGGGACAGTCTAGTGACCCTGCTCTTCACCTTTCTCTCGTACGTAGCCTCGGCCTCGGCCTTGCTCCTCTGGGCGATGGCCTCATACTGGGCCTGGACATCGGCGATGATGCCATCCAGGTTCAGGGAGCGGTTGTTGTCCATGGACAGCACCACGGACGTGTCCGAGATCTGGGATTGCATCTCACGGATCTCCTGTGTGGGGACAGGGAAGTGGTGAGGAGCCCCCTTTTACAAAAGAGCCTTCCTTAGGGGCCAAGATGGGGGCAAACAATAGAAAGCGGGGGGGCGGTTAAGATTGGGGAGAAAGCAAAGTTCCCAAAGAAGGAACACAGGTCAAAGACCTAGAACAAGGAGGGAAGTAAAAATGAAATGAAGCAAAGATAAAAAGGAACTTGGCTTTGGGAGCAGAGCCAGGGGGACAGACCCTTCCACGCTCGGCTACCAGCACTAAGTCCACAGAGGGCTCCGAAGGGACCCAAAAATAGAAACAAAGGCTCTGGGGACAAAGGGGGCCTGAGTTACAGCTGGGCCAGCCCTGTGTCCTCAGTCCTGGACAGGTTATTTCAGTTCTGGGTGCATGTATCATGTGTGAAACGGATGGAAAACACCCCTCATGCAGGGCCAGAACATACAGAATAGTCACACTGAGTTAATATTGGTAGCTGCGATCATTCAGCTACCGGAGGACTCTGATCAGTTGGGTGCTGGGGGCTGGGAGGAGTCACTGGGTCATCTTCTTGCTCCAGCCCCAGGAACTTACTTCTTCATACAGCTGCCTGTAGAAGTTGATCTCATCGGTCAGCCCTTCCAGGCGGGACTCCAGCTCAATCTTGTTCATGTAAGCTTCATCCACATCCTAGGGGTGGAGGATGGGAGAGGATGAGCTGAGTACCCCTACTCAACCCCAACCCACCGAAGTCCACCAGAGTCCCAGAACCTTCTAACTAATCACTTTCCCTACCTCACTCTGGGGTCTGATCCTCCAATCCAGCTTCTACCTCACTCCACCTTCATCCCCAACCCAAACACCTTTACCCAGCTACCTGCAGCACCTGCACACCTCCCTTTACCTCTCCGTAAAGGGTACTCCCTTTACCTCTCCTCCTCCAGGAAGACTTCCAGGACCAGAACTCCAATTCTGCTGCTTCACTTCTTAACCAATCCCCAGCATCAGTGTCCCAGCATTCTCTTCAAATGCATTTAGCTATCTCTCTGTCCTTGTCTATTTCTCTATGCTTTATACCTAGGAGGCACCCAAATTACTTAGAAACACTTAGGGATATAACCCAGAAATCCTTAGTCCAAGACTCTAAGATCCAGCCTCCAGTGTCTGCTGGGGGTACAGTACTCCCTTTACCTTCTTGAGGAGGACAAAAGAATTCTCCATCTCTGTGCGCTTGTTGATCTCCTCCTCATACCTGGTGAAGAAATGTCTTAGAATCAGAGGATAATGGCAAAGGCAAAGCCACCCTGAGTATTTGGGGTAGTGGGCAAGAACATCTAGAAAAGTTAGTTCATGGAGCTACAGGACATGAGATGACTGGGCTGGTTCTTCTGGTCAACCAGCCACTGTCTCCCCGACTCTACGCCAAGCCATCATCAGGCAGCAGGGATGCGTGGAGCATGACATCTCTCTCAAAATCTACAAATACACATTGGATTAGGCATATCAGGAGGGTGAGCAGCCAGGAATGACGTGCTACCTCAGGCAGAACAGGCAGGAGTACGCTGGACATCAGGAATAAGGAATAAACAGCCGCCAGGGCTGCAAGAACGCACCAGAGGTCTGGTGGCTGTCTCGCCCATCTTAAGTTTGCTGCAAAAACACTGACATATAGTCTGTTGTCCAAATCTGGACAGTTCTGAACTTGAAAGGGGGTGGGTGCTATTAACAACCACACCAGGACAGTGGGCATACACTTAGGCCATCCGAGAAAACCTGGGCAGATGGTCTCACTAACTGCATAGAACTGCTCTGCCCAACAAGCAAATGGCCCTGGGGTCTTGGGCTTTTGGTGCCAAGAGGTGGGGCAGGGCAGGATGAGTGGCTGAGTAGGGGGGGGGGGGCCACTCACTTAGCCTTGAAGTCCTCCACCAGCACCTGCATGTTGCCATACTCCGCCTCCAGCTTGACCTTCTCCTGGTCCAGTGTGGCCAGCTGCCGCCGAAGGTTGTTGATGTAGCTCTCAAACATCTGGTCCATGTTGCTCCGGGATGTCTTCTTCTGCTTCAGGAGATTCCATTTGGTCTCCAGCACCTTGTTCTGCTGCTCCAGGGTCTGCACCTACATGAAGGAAGACGGAGCACAAGGGTCAACTCGGGTCAGAGCTCAGAGTCTGAGGAAAGAAAGCCCTGTCTTCCCCTAATCCACTCCCCAACAAGTGGGGTCTCCAGAAACAGGGGCCTGGTTAGCTGCTCTGGGAGCATCCCCTATCACCCGAGAGAGAGGACACAGTGAGTGGGGTAGGGAACCATGTCCCTCTAGTGCTGGGGCTACATGGGGGTGCACAGTTAGTAGGGGATAGATAGGAGAGATATGTTTCCTAAACAAATAGGTCCTATTTATTTAGATTGTACACTGATGATTTTTAATAAGTCAAGTTTTGATTAACACTTTAATAAGACTGAAAAAGAAAATGTAGATTGTTCGTGTCAAGTCATACTGTCGGGAATTGGAAAGGCTTGAGACTCACACCGTGCAGAGGGAAACTAGTTGTATGGCCTGGAGCGCACTGGCCAGAAGCCCTAGAATTCAAGCGAACACAGCTGCTGCCCTGCGCTGCATAACCTGGAGTTGCTCTCCCTCTCTGAGTCTGGGTCTCCTCAACCCTGTAAAGCTCTAGGGGAGCATGAACAGGCCCTTTCAGGAGCCCCATCTCTGTGTGGAAGTCACTTTTAGCAGGGAAGTGTCTGCAAAGCCACTCACGCTCCCCTGATCTCACCCCAGAATCCACAACCCTGTCCTCCTGAAACACAGAGGTACTGGGTCCCTTAAACTCAAGAAGCCCAGATTTTCGGTTGAAATAAGGCATGTTAGAGGGGAATTTTCAGAAAGACTGATAGACTGGTTCCAAGAAGGGAAATGTCCTTTAACCCCAAAGTTGTAACTTTATTTTCTTTAAATATTTATTTATTTATTTATTTACACATACAAGAACTGGGGTGAAGGGGAGGATTCACCAGAGACAGAGCGGGGAGCAGGACAGGCAGACTGACTGAAATACACTGCTGAGGGGAGCAGGAGAGTCAGGAGAGGTCTGCTGCGCCATGTGGGTAGCTCCTGGCCTTCCAGCTGCAGAGGCTGCAGATAGATTAACCCCTTGCACCACCAGGGAGGCCCCAGCTGTAACTTTTTTTAAACTGGGGGAAGATGGATGATTGTCTTAAGGGTCCACTCTAGATCCCTTTGTTCCCCAGGTCCTTCTGCCCAAAAATTATTTTAACAAATAAGTGATAAGGACATTGTGCTTTAATGAACTGCTCAACGGGGCCAAGCACTGCTGGACTCCGCAGGCAAAACCAAACAGGCAAAACCTCTGATTGAGGAATTCTCTATGAGCCCAGTTTACAGCTGCAGGGCTCAGATTTGGCGAGGCAGCCCTTCCGGGGGAGGGCAGAGCCCTGGCACCGGCAGTTCACCCTCAGAGCCTGTGCGCAGCGGCGGGGTGAGGCCCCAGGCCCACCTCGTCACGTGGAGGGTGCTCAGAAGCCAGCGAGCACCATGAGTCCCCCCCAAACTGGGGAGTGCGATCTCCTGGGAATTCCAAATCCTCAGGGCGCCGATCTGCCCCAGGATTTCTCTCCCTCCTCCCGCAGGAGGCCTCCCCGAGCGGGTCAGCGGGCGGGGCCACCCTCGCCCCGGCCTCCCGGCCGCCGGCCGCCGGCCCCCGAGGCTGTAAAACCCGGCGGGGACACCTCCCCGGAGAGTGAAGCCTGGCGCTTGGGTGGAGCCGGGGAGGGAACGCGGAGAGGGGCCAAGGGCCGCGAGGAGGGGCGTGGGCGGACGGCCGGGTTATCTGAGGCTGTAAACCCGGGGCTCCGCGGGACACGCACCCCGGGCGGGGCGTCCACGCCCGCAGACTTTGAATCCTGACGCCCCTCCACCCCCCCGCAGGACCCCACCCCGACACACACCCCCAGCCCCAGCGCCCGGGGCTCCGCACCCCGCGCACCCCGCGGCTCCCCGGGCTGGGCCAAGTCATGACTCATCGCGGCGCCCACACTCCGGCCCCGACGCCACAGGCCGCGACCAATATGTGCCTGTTTGAGTCAAGACACCCGCTTCCCTCCAGAGTCTGATCAAACCCCTCATGTAAAAAGTAAATAAATAAAAATTTAAAAAGGGCCTCCCCGGTGGCGCAGCTGTCCGCAGCCTCCGCAGCGCAGGTTCGATCCCCCGCCGGCCAGGGAGAACCCCACATGGCGCGGCAGACCTCTCCGGTCTCGCCCGCTGCTCCCCACTCTGTCTGTTCTGTTCCCCGCTCTGTCTCTGGTGAATCCTGTCACCCTCCCGCGCCTCTGGCCTGTACCCCAGCTCTTGCATAAATAAAAATAAATCTAAAAAAAAAAAAAAAAAAAAGGCAGGGCACTCTTGAGGCCTTCGGGGCCGGGCTGGGGGAGAAGGGAGAACCTGGAGGGGGCGCGCCAGCCCCTCCCTACCCCGTGCACCGCTGAGCAGTAGCGACTCCCTAGACCCCGCGCGGGGCAGAGAGGCTCAGGCTGGGGCAGGAGGAAGGGAGGGAGGGAGCCCCGCAGATAGAGAGTGAGAAGTAGCCCAGACCCTCTCCCCACCCCAGCGCCCGCCCAAACCAAAGTGCAGGGAAGGAGTGAGTCACAGGTTGGAAGGGGGAGTGTTGCCAGCCTGGGTGGGGTCCAGGCCCCTGGGGGCTGGAGATGTGCTGGCAAGAGAGGGTCCAGCCTGCCCCGACACAGCCAGGCCCCGGGAAGCCCTCACCTTGTTGATGAAGGACGCAAACTTGTTGTTGAGGGTCTTGATCTGCTCCTTCTCCTGGATGCGAACGGCCTGGATCTCGGGGTCCAGCCCGTGCGGAGCGGGGGTCAGCAGGTTCTGGTTCACCTTGACAGAGGTGATGTCCCCTACAACACCACCGTAGCCGACCAGACCCATGTTGGCGCCCAGCATGTTCCCCCGACCTAAAATGGGGCTGATGAGAGGCCCGTTGGCGAAGCCGCGGCTGCTGTGGCTGCTGTAGCTGCTGTGGCTGCTGAAGCCCCGGGAGGAGCCAATGGCTGGGGCGCCAGTGGTGGACACCGCGTAGGTCTTCTTGATCACCCTGTGGGACATGGTGGAGGCTGAAGTGGGAGTGAATAGGCCGAGCAGACAGAGATTCAAGAAGGAGCCAAGAGCTGCCTCTAATGGGGTACAGCCCCCCAGGGTTGGGCCTTTATAGAGAACCCAGCCCTCCCAAGAGGAGGATGATAGGACTCTTACCTGAGTGGCTAGGTCTCCAGGGGGCAGGGCCCAACCCGACACCTGCCACCTATAGGCGGCATTCTGATGGGGGCAGCAGAGAGCTGCTCCTACCCCGGAGCCCGCTCTACCACCTCCCCAGGAACGGGGCAAGAGCTCCTCAGCAAATGTGAAAGTGGAAAGAGTCCAGCCAGCCCAGCACAGCTGCCTCCAACAAAGAGAGTTGCCAGGGGTCACCCAGCCACTTCAGTCCCGACTCCTGGGTCTTTTCTCCTTCCCTTCTGTGGGAAATAAACTCAAGGACTGGGAAACAGCAGGAGAAATGATCCCTGGTATTTGGGTCTCCTCTGAGCAGTGACACCCCCAAAGCTACCACCACATGTGTTTCTCTCCATGTTATTGCCCAACGGGGCTCTGAGCCTGAAGTAGCGATGTTGCTTCGTCTCTTTGCAGTCACTGCTGTACCTCAGCACCAACTGGGCGGTGCCTCGAGGGGCTGGGTAAATATTTGTAGACTGGACAAACAGATGCCCTCGGCTGCACACACTGGCCCTCGTCCCTTTGGGTCTGCAGGTGCAAAATAGAGCGAAATCTAACGCGGCACTTTTCCTGGACACCACCTAGTGGCCTCCTCTGCTTGCAGGACACAGGATTGCCCTCCCTCCCCCACCCCCAGACTGAACACTGGCCCTGTTGGAGGCCACAGAGAATGAAGAGCAAGGGCTAAAGACAATGGGGGTGGGGGCTCAGGGACCGGGAACTGCATCAGGACTCTTCATGGTTCTCATTGCTCATTGGGGGAGCTGTTCTCAGAGCTCCCCTCCCCATGTGGGGTGGGGTAGAGTGGGGGGCACAGCTGGTGAGTCAGTCTGTAGCCACCTGGACCCACCTCTCTTCCCAGGCCCCCAACTGGCCAAAGGAGATGGAAGATGGGTGCCTGCACCTGTCTTTCTGAACCCATTATGAGAATGAGTCAGGATAGCAGGTTGGGACACAGCAGGCACCTGCAGAAGGCTGGAGAACGGGGAGCTCAGCAAGGCACCCCAGGCCTGGGTGGGGCGAGGTGAGGCAGGCTGTGGGTGGAAGGCAGGAGGCTCAGGTCCTGGAGGCAGGGATTCCAGCCGCAATTAAGGTCGGCTGGGTTGGATTCTCTGCAAGATCCTGCAGGGCATGAGTGCAGACTGGTGGGCTCCTAACTAAAGAGACCAGCGCATGCCTTGGGGAGAGCAGGCAGCCCAAAGCCCTCCTCCCAGGCAAAGGTGGTGACTATGACGCACTCTACCAGGAGGGCAGATACAGAGCCTACCCCTCCGGAGACACCCAGGCTCCCTGCACAGACACTTAGATCTAGAAGCCCCTTCCTTAAAAGACAGACATGAATCCAGAGACACAGATAAGCTCCCTTCACCACACACACACACACACACACACATGCACGCGCACGCACAAGTATATGTGCACGTATGTGTGCACAGGGACACAATTTGAAAGACTAATTCAGAGAACCCCCCCCCACCCCAGAGGACACGATGACCACAACCCTTTCTCTCTTCCCTCTCCTCTCCTTTCCACCCTCCCCCAGGCTCTGGCCTCCAGACCTGTTAGACCAGGCAGAGGGAAACCCAGCGAATACCTGTTTGTACTAGGCCCTCTCCCAGCCCCTTCAAACAATGCTCAGTTTCCAGAGCGATTTGAAGGTAAGCCACCCCCTCCCCAAGAAACACCCACTTCTCACAGCGCTGAGAGACTCCTCCTCCCAGAGACCAAAGGAAGGGGGTATGGACCGGTGCCAAACCGGGCACTGGGAAGGCGGAAGGACAACGGGAGAGGCTGGTCAGACAGGTATAGCAACCCTGAGACTGGATGAAGAGCTCCCACCTCTGCCCTCCCCCACGCTGCTGCAGGGTATACCTGGGCAGGCTCAGAGGGAGGGACCATACCAGAAGTGGGAACACGACATTGCCACGCAGAGCCCTCTCTGAAATCCTAGCTCCTCCACACCCCAGGCCCCAACCTGGTTCCCCAATTTCAAGAGTGTCTTTTGTTTCAGAAAGGACAAAGTGGGCTATAAGGTTGGCTGGCCTAGTTCTCATTCAGGGGCAGCCCCTCTTTGCTGGGGCAACCCCCAACAATCCAGGGCCAGACGTGTATGCATCTCACTTGTCAGCTTCCTATTGCCCACACCACTCAGCCCAGATGCCCCAAGTCCAGCCTCAGTGCAGAAGAGACCAGAGCTATTCTTTCCAATGGCCCCTGCTTGGGATTCCAGATGGGGGCAGAAGGGAAAGGCCCTTGGTCAAAGGCCAAGAGGTGAGACGGGGTGGCCCGTAGGTGCAATTCTGTAAGGTTGTCCCCCCCCACCCCCCGCCGCGTTGTCCTGCTCCCGCCCCCTGCAGTCTGCACACTGTTACCTGCTCAACAAAAGGCAAAGTGTTTGCAGTGACCACGCCCCACCTGCCTTTCCTGGAGAACACAAGGGGGAAAGAGGAGACGTTGTTCCCTTCCCACCCCATGGCGATGCTGCAGATGAGCCAGGGAGGCCCTGAGTGGCTGTGTCCAGGCTGGGGGCAGAGGTGGGTGGGCAGGCAGCCATTATCGGTATCTCATACCCTGTCATCGGAAAAGATGGTCTGAACGGGGTTTCTCAGTGACCAGGACTGATAACACAGAGACCTCATGGTCTTTACAAAGTCAAAACGGAGCCAACCCAAAGGTCCAATTGACAGATGAATAAACAAAATGTGGTACGTACAGTCATACATTATTTGCACTACAATGGAATGAGGATGGACCTTGCAAACATTATGCTAAGTGAAGGAAAACGAGCACAGGGGTCACATGTGCACAATTCCATGTATATGAAATGTCCAAAATAGGCAAATCTGTAGAAACAGAAAATAGATTTGTGGGTGCCCAGGGTTGAAAGAAATGGAGGCGATCACTAAAGAGCATGGGATTTTTTGGGGGAATGGATGAAAATATTTCAAATTCCACTGTGGTGATGATTGCACAGTTCTGTGAAAATACTGAAAACCACTACATTGTATACTTCAGATCGTTGAATTGTATGATATGTGAATTATAGCTCAATAAAGCTATTATCCAAAAAATTCCACAAAAGCAAAATTAGTCTCATATATAAAGCAGAGACTTTTTGAGCCAGCACAGAGTTCAGAGGATAGAAGGGAAGATTTTGTTAAGATGCAGAAGGTGAAAAGATGCCTGTGTCTAGGTGCAATGTCACCAAAGCACTGACCTCACTCTAAAAGATGGACAATTTGAAATCTTACTTAGAGAAAGAACTGAGGTTAACACCAGGGCAACAAGATCAGTTAAAGTTGGCAGCCACAGAGGTGGGGACACCCATCAGTAAGCCATATCATGAATAATAAAGTTGATTTGATTGTTGATTTTTGTGCTGTGTGCCTCAAGGCACACATTGTTGAGTCAGTGCTCTGTAAATGGTGACTGTTTTTCTTCATGACAATGGCAGCTCTGTTGATTAAAACCAGACTGAACTGGCATGGGCTGGAAGGCAGCAAGCGCCTATGGCTGCAAGCCCTAAGATCAAAGCCTGCTGATCAACTGTCCACTGAGTTCACTGGTGGAGGATTTTTGGGCCCTGCAGGGGTTTGAACTAGAATTTCCATATCCTCCCACTCTGTGAGCTTTGATCCATGTGTGATCACCATAGAGCTTTACACAAAGAATAGACATCCATGAATATTCTCTGAATTGGAATTTTGATTTTGACAAAGACATGGTTAAAAGTAATTAGAACAAGTGTGGGCAGAATGGTGGCAAGATAAGTTTTGCTATGGAGAAAAGTATATAAGCCCAACAGCTGGAATGAGGCTGTTCACTCCCAATTCATAGCCCACAACCTCATCTCCACTGATACCAAACTGGAAGAGACATCCATGAGCTGGGCAATCAAGTCAAGTGGCAGGGATCCGTCTTGGACTCCTTCCCCTTGGTTTGCTGTCTGGAGCAAGCACATTGAAGAAAAGAGAGTTTACCACCCCAAAATATGCCTCTTTGGCATAAGAGTTATTTTGAGCTGGTTATTTTATTTTTAAGATTTATTTATTTTATTTCTACAAGCAGTATAAATGTATACAAGCTTCTGGGTACAGTCAGAAGTGCGGGAGGGTGAGAGGATTCACCAGAGCCAGAGTGGGGAACAGGACACGCAGACTGACGAAATATACACTGCTGAGGGGAGCAGCGGGCGCGGCAGGAGAGGTCTGCTCGCCACGTTGAACCCTCGCCGGTGGCTGAAAATAGAACCAGCACTACAGAGGCCGAGGGCAGCTTTGCAGCCCAACGCTCAACCGTGCTCCAACAGGGGAAGCCCTGAGCTGGTTATTTTTAAGTGACAGCAGACAAAGAAGAAATTCTAAAAGAAGACACAAAGAAATGGAAAAGTATTTCTTGCTCATGAATTGGAAGAATTAACTATGTTAATTCTCTGTGTGATGCAAACGGCCATCTTACTCAAAGCAATATATAGGTTCAATGCAATCCCTATCAAAGTTTCAGTATAATTCTTCTCCCCTAAAAGAGCAAATATTTCTGGAATTTATATGGTACCACAAAAGACCTTGGATAGCCAAAGCAATATTGACAAAAAAGAATGGAGGTGTCTGACTCCAAATATACCACAAGCCTATAATAAGAAAACAGTATGGTATTGGAACAAAAGTACACACAGAGGCGAATGAAACAGAATTGAAAGTCCAGCAATAAACTTATATGGATAGTTCATCTATAACAAAAAAGCCAAGAGTATACTCTAAAGAAGAAATTCTCTTCAACAAGTAATGTTGGGAAAACTGAATAACTACATGCCAAAAAAAAAAGTCAAAGTAGAACACTCTCTCACACTGTACACAAAAATTAACTTAAAATGTATTAACTTTATATGTCATGACCAGAAACCATGAAATGCATAGAAGAATATACAGAAA